TAATAATAATATGAGACACGTGGTATCGACTAGTAGTAGTGGCAGATAGTGTATATATCCATTTCCCGCACGTGTATCAATCTCATCGCGTGATATAATAGTATTGCGAGGATTGCCAATTCTTTCGAACAGCGAATCAATCCATTGCATGCGCTAGATTGATGAAATGTGAAAATGGGGTTCTGAATGCTTCATTACATTCCTTTTATTACGTTACTTGTCATAAATTGTATGTTATTTCTTTCATGTCAAAAATTTGATTACGCAAAAGCGATTGCAATATACTGCATTATTAAGATCGATGCTCGTTTGATACATCTCTGAATATTTGCTAGGTTTTTGGCGATAATTAAATATGCTTGGAGCGCGCATAATTTTGTTGCAAAATTAAAATCGAGAACGTATGTGCACTCTGACATTAAAATAAAAAAATTATGAAATTAATTAAAACAATTCTTGCCTTCAGAGCTATCATCGATGATTGGTGCAAAAAAAAGGCGCAAAAAACACATGCAGTGATTGCATTTTCAATTAAATAAAATTGTTTTATCTGTTAAAATTGTATAAAATAATTTACTTTTAAGATAAAATATAAATTTTACGATATATTCTTTAACACGTGCCACAATAAAAAACAACTTTTTTAAAACGCTTTTTTAGTATTTTGAAAAAAATCATATTTAATGCCACAAAGGAAGTTAAAAAAAGAAACATATTTTCTACATGTGTGTTTTTTACAACATCCATAATTATTCATTTAGTGGAAAAATTTAATTAAATTTTTTAACTTAATGTCAGAATGCATGCAAGTATGTTTATAGTTAGCAAAGTTACTTCTATATAAAAACTAACAAAAATTCAGCAGAAAAATAGCTCTCTAAATAAATTCCGTTACTTATCGTGATGGGGAGATAACTCCACGTTCGCATTGATAACGTCTAAAATATGTCTTGATATCGATATTGGAAATCTTCGTAACATTTCAATCGCAATTCTTTTTCCAACTATATTATTGATCCAATCTTTATTCGTACATTTATCAGAGAGAGATTGATTTTGTTTGCACTGAACGAATCTTTCTATGTCAGTCAATCTCCTTTTTCGGTTTATCTTTAGCGCTTCTAAATTTATACAAGCGAGTTTCGATATATATTCGGCAATCCTTTGTTCAGCGCCATCTCGCCGCTCTTATCGCGAAGCAACCCCCCATCGATTTTCCGCGCGCACGAGCGTGCCACCACCGCCGCCGTTTTACCAAATAAGGAAAGGACTCGCGCGCCTAGCGCGATCAACCCCCCGACCTCTACACAACATGGCCGGTCGCCGAATGACAGTTGTTGCACTCGCCTCGCCTGCTCGTTGACCCCGTGACGCATCGGCGTCTCGTTCGACGTTGCACCTGTCGGCGTCATGTGTCGTGCGCGTCGTCGTTCCCGATTACGCCGCGATTCCGCGACGGTGAGCGCGTCCAACGTCACGCGACTAATGCCGCTCCGGATCTTCGGCGTATCCTCGTAAAATCCTGCCACAGGATTTTCCGACTCGAGTTCCTACGGCGAGCCTGCCGCTCCGTTCCGCCGCTTACCGAAAGTAGACGGCGGTCAAACGGATATCACAACGATCTCTCGTCTAATTGTGATACTGTAAATATTTTTTGATCCAGTGATATCGTTTCTTAATGCTACTAGCGACTGTTCTTGTTTACGTTGGTTAATTTAAAATATAATTAAACTAATCCTTCATTTCCATTCAGTTCTGACACCGAAAGCTGAAAGATGAAGAGAATGAAAATTAAATGTAGCCAACGTTAATTAAACCGAGCTCAAGTCTGATTTATTTAAACATCTGTCTGTTGGAAAATTGATCTGTAATTATCATCGATTGTCTATTCATTAAAATTAAAATGTGATGTTTTTTAAAGGTTAAAATCTTCAAAATTTTGTAATACAATCCAAAGATTTATACGACAGAAATTACGTGTCGATTTCGTCGTTTTATTGATCATGATTCAATCAGCGAAACGTTTGAAGTTTCTAGTGTGCAAAGTTCTTTGAACTCTGTTTTTCATTGTTTGCGAATACGTGGGAGTTTTGGCATCGAGTACTGGGAGATCTTTTTGGATAAGTTGGATTTGTTGTTTTACTGCAGTGGTATGCGAAAGCACCGTTCGCGTTAGGTTGGGATTCGCGTACACGCAATGCTTTCATTGTGAATATTAGTGTAGGTAGGTGAGATGAGAAAATATCACGGAACTTGTGGACAGTTCAATGAACCATGCAGCAAGTGCATTATACGTTTTTAATTGCAATGCGTCGGTACTTTGAAACTTTGCAGCAATGCGACTCTTTTCAGCAGAATGCCTTTTAATTACAACATAAATTGTTTCTCTTCAGTTAAATGGTTTCTATCGCCTTTTGTTTATTACTGAAGGAATATGAAGGCTGAATATGAATTAATCATACATTAAAAGCCACGTGCAATAAAATTTCAAAGACAAATAAGCGAGCGCATTAATAAGATTCTATCTTCACTGTAAAATTAACTTTTTACAATCGTAAGGTAATCAAGGTTTTGCAGCCATTTTCAGGATAAGTAATATTCTGTATTACGACCGAAAAGATTAAACTTCTTTTATCGACAGAAATAATGACGTGATAAATGCGAAGGCTTTAATTAATATTAGTAAAAGTGTAAATAAATAGAATATCAAATAAAACTTGAGTTGAAAATACTGAAGTTAAAGATATTATGAGTTTTTCTATATGAGTTTGTATGTTTTTGAAATTTCATAACTAAAATTTTGATAAACTTAGTTATTTTTATTTCAAGAATTTGGGACAGAAATAACTCTGTCAATATTAACATTAAAAATGATAATTATCGCATATTTAGTATATCTTAAATTTCTGAAATAAGCACGAGTTTTTTTCATCATTAACGATTAAATTGTCTTCTTACTTTATGACTAAATTGCAATAATTATTATCAGATTGATACGTTAATGTTTACGATAGATTGTTAATATCTTAAATACATAAATTTTTTATCAGACTTATCAGATACGGGCTGTAAAAAAGGAGACACTAATAAAGCATAAATAATTTCATACATGAATATATCGCAAATATACGTATGTTACTTGTTTCAAATATTCCGCACTAGAGAGCATGAGAGGAATGTCAAATGCAAACATTTATTTCGCAATGCAGCTCGGTTCAGCTATTTACGTTGCACATTGATATTGCCTGTGGTTGTTGGTATAATGTGCTATTAATTGACACTGTTAACAGTTCAACAACGAGTTGGATATTATTATGACAATAAATTATCTTTTATAAAAATATTACTTTTATGTAAAAGAATAACAGCTGGAAAATTTATTCTCTTTATATTAATCTCTAACTTGTATATCTTTTAACATTGACGTAATGTAATCACATATTAAAATTTCTTAATCAATTCTTTTCGGAGATATACATTTGAAAAATTATTTATCTCAAAATTCATCTTTCTTTTACATACAGAATCGTCTATATGTAAATTTTTAATTAACATTTATAATAAAAGTTCTGATGAAATGATATACCAACTTCTTTTTTCATTAGAAATCAAGTCTTTTTTAAAACTGCTTTTCTAAATAATGTCGGTTGTTAAATTTGACTCGTAGATCGCTATAAATACTGCAAATCGAAAACCAAATTTCAATAGTGTATATATATAGTCACCTCTTCGCGAAGAAAAGGACCGAGAGATGCTCGGCGACCGGAGATGACGAGCGCGAAATGTACTTTCGGTCCGAAAATAACATGGCCATTCGCCGGTACAACGGAATCCCGCCATTCGCAATTTTAGCAACCGTAAAGCCAATCGTGTGCGCAAGTGACAAAAACGAGCTTAGTCTTCTCGGACGTGTCTCGCTCGTCGGATCCTTGCGGCGTAAAACTCGATCGCGACGTTCCCACGTGAGTCATCGTTTGTATCTCGGTGTCCTCGTCAAACGCGAACGACCGCATGGAACCCCTTCGCGAACGATTCAGGTGAGGTCATCGTTTGCGTTCGCCGAAATTGATCAACGAGAGGATTCATCCCCCTCGCTGACGATTTCGAAGAATCCATTTGTTCTGCGGTATCGATAGGAATACGCGTTAATCCCAGGCATGCGCGTGTGTCGTTCGTTTGAAATTAATGGTTCGATGTATGTACCGAGCGAATATATAGACTCAGACTCCGGCCAGAAATTTCAATTTCATTGTAGTCTCGCACTGGAGACAAGTTACCACTCGTCAGTTGGTGCTTGAACAGGGATACTGCAAACGTACTCCGTGTTCGCTGTTTAAATTAATCTCGGATAAACCTGGCAGTTTATTTTGTCTGCGAAATATAATTCTGCAACCTCCCTTCGATGTGTTTTTAGCAAA